TCACTCACTCTTTCACTCATTAATCAATTAAATATGCGTTCAATAACTTATGAAGTATTTGAGCACCTGTATCATGACATGTATAGAATATTTGACTGACATTTGCACTCATTTATTGATCGATTTGAAAGTCTTTTTAAATATTACTTTTATATTCTTTGAAATTCTTGTCATTTTATATTTTAAAGCAACTATTGATTATTTTTGTAAATTTTTATTTTTGAAATTAAATTATAAAACTAATTATCACTAAAACTAAAAGTCTTTTTATAAATGATTAATTAATAGTTTTAGGCATTAAATTGGACAAATGTTTATTCATTTTCATACATAGGTTTATATAATTAAAATGTATTATACAATATCAGATTGTACTTATACAGCATAATTATTATATGAGTTTTAAATTCACAAAATAATTGTTTTAACAAAAGATTTAATTCTTATAATATTCGCAATTAATGTCAAAATATTTTCATATCAAGTGCTTAATACATATGAGTTTGTAATATATATTTATTTACATTTTATAACTCGCGTGAGTGTATAGTTAAATGTTTAACTCAAAATATTTAAAATATTTTCCTTGTTTATATAATAAATTTTATCTCACTTTTGAAGTTTTTACTTTATTTTAATATATAAGTGTTTATTTAAAAGCTTTAAATTAATTGGTGTATAAATACAAAAAACAAGCTATTTTATTTTAAATTGAGTTTTTAAATACAAACATTTATTTAATTTACAAAATAAAAATACCAAAACTTTGTCAACTAATAAATAAATTAATTGAAATAATATAATATACCAAGTGAACATCGTGATTTTTACTTAATTATAAATAAATTACAAATAGATCATAATTTAAAATGAATACAAAAAACGTTATTGTTTATAAATTACACAATATATTAATATAATATATGACAAATAATTAATGTTAAAATTAAATACTTGATTTGAAATATACAGAAAAAATTATAAAAATGTGTTTTATATATCATAATTATATTCGTGTATAATTATTTACTGGTTAATGATATAAAAACTATTTATTGGCCAATAAAACTATATATTCACCAATGTAATTTATCGATTCTCGCCAAACTATATAATATATTATTCTAGTCTTAAAAATCTCCAATAAATACACCATATTTTACAATCAATAGCTGTTCCTGTTTATTTAGCTCTTAAGTAAAAAGTACTTATATTTTTTATGTCAAACTTATTTCTCCGTGTTTGCCATGATTTACACAAAACCATTCAAATAGAAATCGTGTCTTAAATACATATATAGACTTCGTGTCAATACTTTTCATCACTGCATAGACGATCATAACTACAAGAACTGCCATCAGTGGTGTTGCTGTCAGTATTATGCGATACTTCTGGTGCTGTCGCCGCACCGGATGCTACTGTCATACCCTCTGTCACACCAGTCGACGACAGGGGCTGACGACAGTCCCTTTCATCATCAAAGTCTGCGCTATCATCGACAGCAATATGAAGACCACTACCTATACTACCGGTGCTCGCGTTGGCACAGTTGTGATGACATTCGGCGCACGACTTACTCTTATTATCGTCACTATTATTGACGGCTATATTGACGACCACTTCCTCTTGAGTTGTGACGGCTTTTGACTGTTGTGTCAGCGGATGGTTAGGTGTGAGCCCGTCGTCCGACACAATATCCGCGACCGACGAGGAAGACGGTGACTGACTCTGTAGTGACTGATTGGCGCCGCTGTTACTACCGGTGCCCCCGCGTGACCGGTGTTGCCGGCGCCGATTGCTTCTGGCCATAGGGGATGAGATGGGTATGTGGACCACCTCTATCTCATCTCCACTACTGTTCCTATGGCGGCCCCTGTGGTGCCAGTAGTGTTGGTTCACATCCAGGTCCACATCAATGTTAAGTATACTCTCTTGGCTTCCGGCAAACTGTTGGTAGGAATTATAACTTATGTTAAGTGATATCTAATGAATTCTTGGAAAATGTATTTCTGTTAATTATGTTATATTTGTGTCCAAATTATAGGTATTTAATATTCATATAATATTAATTTGCATTTGAAACTTATATTTTATCATTAAGAGAGAGAGAGAGAGAGAGAGAGAGAGAATGTAATAACTATTCGCTAGAAGTCTTTATACAGTATATTAAGACCAGAATTAAGACACTTATCGATAGATAACAGAGAAGTTGAAGGGAAAGAGAAATCAATTATTTATTAATAATATGTAGGTTTGAAATGTTGTATTGAGTGAAACACAAATATATTTACCAATAATTTTGGCCTAATATTTGACATCTAGTGAATATATGAAATTATTTTTCACGCGTAATCAGCTTATAAGTTTTACTCGTAATATAAATTTAAGTTAAGTGTGTAGGATTAGTTTGGTATTAAGAATATTATTCAACAACAAAAAACTTATTTTATTCAATTTCCATGTGTAATTTGATTTGTTTGAGCAATAATCTAATCTCAAACAAATTGGCATATAGCATTTGTAAGAATCAATAAAAATATATAGCAATTTTCAGTTAATTGCTAATTAGATTGTATTTCATTACTTACTGAAAATGTTTGCATTTTTGTCGCAACCCATGGGATACTTATTATGGTAATCTGTAGGACTGTATAAGAATTTTATTACCAGAATATTCTTGTTATTTAATAATACTAATGGATGAGTCTCTCTCTCTCCTCTCTCTCTCTCTCTCTCTCTCTCTCTCTCGTAATATAAGAAATAAAATACAATCCAAATACACGCTGTGTTTGACAATAAAAAAAATCTATCAAATAATTCTTTCATTTCATTATTTATTAACTTCTAATAAATTCTTGGATATATTCTTTATGTTACAACTATGCGATGATAAATTGACCTGAACATAATCCATAATTAAAAAATAAGAAATAGCGTGGCATAATCCTTGCCAATGTATCACGTAGAGTGAAAATAATTATAAATAAAACTTCCTATCACCACATATTGTCTATAATTTATAGCTTATAAATGTCAAGGGATATACCCTGAGTGTACAGAATATTATATACATTTCTGAAAAATATAACTATAAATGATAAATAAATTTTATTTTGCTTAACCGGAAAATATATTTATTTGTGTATTAAAAAAATGTTTTATCAAACGTGATATTTTGTGTAAAAAATAATAACTGTTAAATATACTGACCACTAGTCCATAGTACTTTAGGATATCCATTTTACACATCGGACACGACCTGTTCTCCAGGAGCCAGGGATCGACACATGATTTATGAAACAAATGCCACTCTCTCTCTCTCTCTCTCTCTCTCGTAATATAAGAAATAAAATACAATCCAAATACACGCTGTGTTTGACAATAAAAAAAATCTATCAAATAATTCTTTCGTTTCATTATTTATTAACTTCTAATAAATTCTTGGATATATTCTTTATGTTACAACTATGCGATGATAAATTGACCTGAACATAATCCATAATTAAAAAAATAAGAAATAGCGTGGCATAATCCTTGCCAATGTATCACGTAGAGTGAAAATTATTATAAATAAAACTTCCTATCACCACATATTGTCTATAATATATAGCTTATAAATGTCAAGGGATATACCCTGAGTGTACAGAATATTATATACTATAAATTATAAATAAATTTTATTTTGCTTAACCGTAAAATATATTTATTTGTGTATTAAAAAAATGTTTTATCAAACGTGATATTCTGTGCAAAAAATAATAACTGTTAAATATACTGACCACTAGTCCATAGTACTTTAGGATATCCATTTTACACATCGGACACGACCTGTTCTCCAGGAGCCAGGGATCGACACATGATTTATGAAACAAATGCCTGTGTTTTTGGTGTTGTTTTCAATTCGTGGGAATAGAAAGAAAAGAAAGTGTTATTCATTGAATACATTTGAATATTATTTTGTGAGAAAACAATCATAAATTATATGGGATTTAATGTGTAAAACTGTTAGAGAGACAAAAAACTAACTGTCAAAACATATCCCTTTTTAGGAGCCGTAGGGAAATGGATGTAATTATTAACTAAAGATTTTTTGCGCACATTTGTATTATGGAGTTTTGTGCCCAAATAAATGGATTAATAAAATAATTCAAGATTTATAGCTCCGGGTGGGATATCAAACTAANTTTCCATGTAATTATTTAAAATTTTTAGGATATAATATAATACGCGTATAATTATATACTTTGAATAAAAATGGGTGTAATTATAAACATAATTATTTAGAAAATCGCTATAATTTGTTATCAAAGTATTTATGAATATTTTTAAATAATTATATTTTAAAAGTTTATTCCAACATAAAATTCAATTATTATCTTAAATGCAATTTTTAGACATACAATACAACCGGATTTCAGATTATATTAAAATAGTAAAATAACAATTTTAATAATAGCATCCAGATTAAATGTTGCTCATTATATTACGCTTACCAATGTATTATATTGTAGTAATGATGTAAATGCAATGGTAATCGGATTTATTTAAATTGTACAGTATTTACAATCATATAATCCTCCAATTAAAATCTGAATCACCAATATCATCAAGTTACTATAATCAATATCTACAGTACTTTAATGAAATGCATTATTCATTAAATAATTTTACAAATTTTCAATTTTAATGAATATAGAGACGACTGAACAGTGCGGCTAAGAAGGCCATGGATAAGATCCCGACCAAAACCATACGGCCCTCCGATTTGGAGCGCATTTTTGAGGGCGAGTTCGCCGAGTTGTGTCCCGTCTGTATTGACACGTTTAAAACATGTGATATCATCAGGATACTTCCCTGCAAGTGAGTTCACACACCTACTATCTCTCTTATCTATAGGCATCCCAACGCCTATTTATCACACGTTTCCAGTGAACCCCACCCCACCCTATCTCACAATTTCCTATTTAATTTAGTATCATATTAAGGGCGGTTCAATGAGTACATACCCAGGCATAAGGTAGTCGACCTTAATTGTAACTTTTTTTAGGGATTACTGGTTGGTTATCTACAGTTTTGTGTACTTATTTATTGAATTACCCTTAGTTAATTATGTGGTATCTTAAAAGCACTTGTGCTTTTATCGATGTTATGTGTTTGAAATACCGGTGCGTTTTTTGGGCCAAAATCCCTACGAAAAGGTCAATCAAATGCAAACGAAAACCGTTAATCGATACAAACATTTGCAGTGTTTTTAATCTCGTCTGTGATTTACAATCAAATTACAGCCGAAACACACATTTATAATGTATTACTAATGCATTAGTAAAGTGAATGGATGCTCACTACCATTATATGGCAAACACACACATCCTATGTGTCTATTAGTCTATTATATTTATACATCATTGGACTCCTAATGTCTTTATCCATGATTAAAAATCTAATTATCAGTTCATTATATATAAAGTAATCGATTATTTAATGTATGATTACTATTACCAGAGATTGGATGTTGTAATAGCCTTTGGATTAGCCTTCAGTTGAGTTTTAGTTTTATTTTCTGTACAAAGGATTCATTTTTTGTTAAATTTTAATTGAAGTGACTTTTAATTTTAAAATGTTTTTATTGCAATAGAAATTCAAATTATATTATTATATTTGACATTAATGTATGAAAAGTGAAAATTAATAAGAAATCTGTTTCATTGTGAAATAAATATAAAATCATTTTTTAATGATCTGAGAATTTATTGTTAAGAATACAATGAATTGGTTTTATATATTTTATTTGAACTTGGAGAATTTATATAAGATATTGTATTTTTAAAGGAAATTTATATTCAAATAAAATAGATTAATATGAATGATTTTATAGACTTATAAAAAATTAATGTTTATTTAATTTGAAAATCGTTATTACTATTTAAGTAATGATTGACATTAAAATTACTGTATATGACATAATTATTGATAAAGTAATTTTTATATAATTTGCATTTGCCATATAAAGTTATATAATATATAAAAATATTTTATATTAAATTAGCAATTGACATGAAAATATATTTCACCTTATACCAAATCCTTTAATGTCTTTAATAGCATTGAATTTTTATATAAAACTAGAAAATTAATGCAAACTTTTATTTTTAATTTATTTACTAATTAAATAATGATTACATGTGCAAAGACTTTGAATGCTATTTATTATAATTGGTTGATAAAACAAAGTGCTATTAGTTTTATATATAGTAATATATTATTGAATAAACGGTTGAAATAAATCCAGTAAAGACTTCTGAGAAATTAAATATAAATGCTTTCCTTTGAAACCATAAATATAATAGTCTCTCTCTCTCTCTCTCTCTCTCTCTCTCTC